GAGGCTCCTGCCTTCCTCAGCAGACACCTCTCTTTCAAACCAAGACACCAGGACACTCTAACATACTCCATCCTGCCAGCAAATATCAGGCCAGCAACTACAGGTGCTACGGATTTTGACTATTTGCATCCCATCCAGATCTAAGAGAGATGGGAAAGAGAAGAAAAGAAACACCACAGGCCTGACCACATGTCCACACCTCTGTAGGCTCCATGTCACAGTAAATAGGAGTTTCTTCTCCAAATCCCACCAAAATCCCCACTTGACTGCTGGGACAAAGGGCAGGAGGGCTCCAAAGCCAGGTTGCTCCACCAGCAGGTCCCCCTATGAGAGACCCAACGGATCCAAGATCTCTGGGCGAAACAATCTACCGAGAGTCCAGGTGTTTCAAGGCAAGCACATTATTAGCAGCTAAGCTCTGCTGCTGCTCATGAGTGCTCCTAGGCTATGTACATACAGTTATTTCAAGAGATTATGGGCTTTTCTTTTTTGCTAAAACTAAGGGACATGATACACATCATACTTATGCAGCCAAACACTCTTCCACCTGAAGCAGGTATGACCAGTCATGTTCAATGCTCCTGTGCCATGGCAGCACCTGAATCATGCCTGGCCATTGCTGGGACAGGGCAAGTTGTCACAAGCAAAAGAAAAGCTGGCTAAGAACTAAACAATAGGGTTTATTCTGGGACAGTACTTCACCCTGTGCTCCAACCCTGTTTTGTTATGAGCATGGACATAGCACCAGTGACCCGGTCAGACTAATCACGAGTGCAAGGAGCTTAGCATTTCACAAAGACAGATCCCTTAAGCAGACCCATGACAGGCAGATTCTTACAGACGGATAAATGCTGGAGAGAAGGCAGCTAAAGGACATGGCAAAGCCTCAGAGAGATTCAATGCTGGAAGCAAAATTGGGAAAGCAACCAGGAAACAGACTCCTAGAAGCCCTACCTTGTTTTCAAATCGGGAGATCACAGTAAGATCAATATGCTTAAAAATAGTACCATGCCTTCTACTCACTTTTCCTTCCTTATCACACGGGGTATGGATCTGGAAAAAGTCTTTGTTTGTACATGGAGGACGCTCTATACACACACTGGATCCCTCATCTAAAAAGAAAGGGTGAGGAACAGGATGTTAAATTATCAAATGGCCCCTAGAAACAACCATAACAACCTTAAAATCTGGAGATTAAAATGAGTCGGCAGAAAAATACAAATCGAGAATGAAAAATCAAATTCTTAATGGAGTCTACATGAACCTTCCCCTGAACTGAAGCGGGAGAACATGGAAAATACCAACTATGCTTGTACTGTCACACTGAAATTTATTGACTCAGAGTAACCAGGGAGTCATCCAAACCCTCACACCACCCCTTCACCTTCAAGCAGTAATTTGTGTAGTTTGCCAAGTATCAGAATACTTCTCACTTGATAAGCCACAAATGCCCTCTAACCCATTAAAAAGTTCCTTACAACACTGGCTCAATTTTTCCTCTCACCAGATACTTTTGCAAAATTTCCCTTCCCACCATGAGCACAGGCACCTGTCCCCAAGCATTTGCCATAATCTGCAATAGCAGGTGCTATGGTAGGTAACTGGTTCTTCAAAAACTTTCTTATAAAACAGCTACAAGGAAGAAAACTGAAGACATTTGACCATGAAGAACGGATTTTGTCCGTGTTACTTGATGATCACCAGCTAATCACAGCTGGAAATGCAGAGAACTTTGGCAACTAGGGTTTGCAACCAGATCACCACATCTTCCAACCACACAAGAGGCAGGGACAGGCCAGGAGAGAATTTGGAAAGGAGATTCCTTGAAAACATGGCAAGTCTGAAGGCACTGATGAAGCCAACTCAGATCTTCACCAACCGATAACACAAATTACCACGAGAGGGCACAGCACGACCGTTATTATCCTTCAGAAGACCTGTTCCTTTCAAGGTTATAAAGATCCCCATCCTTCTATGTTAGAATAGATGAACTTAGCCAAAATTATGTGGCCCATTATGTATATATGTGCCCTCTGCAGCTTTTGGAAAGTCCCATCTTCATTTCTGCTTTGCATATCAACTGGAGACTAACCTTCATTGTTGAATAAAACCATTCTCACATCTGCACAAGAAACAGCTTATGACCTTATGTGCTCAGACTCTCCTGGTTTTCCTTAACCCATTTGATTTATGTACCTGCATAATACATTTCTTCTTTACACTTGGTGCACTCTTTAGCTCCTTTCTCAGAATAAGTATTTCTTGGACACACCTGGCAGCCAGATGAACCTGGTTTGTCACTGAAGGTACCAGGCTTGCATGCAAAGCATTCAGAAGTATATGCAACTCCTGCAAGATAAATTACAGGTAAAGCACTGAAATACAGAGAGGTATGCTTCATAACTACTGCTTATCTGCTTGCTGTGCAGAGCAAGCCAGCTGCGTAACACAGCTTAAAAATCACAGGCTTTCACCACTCACTGTAGACACATTGGCTTTGCTGACTCATGACTAAGTTCTTTAATTTTGGCTCTGCAATGCAAGTCTGACCCATGTAAGAACCATATATGACACCCCAAGTTTGATTACACTTAGAACAGGACCAAAAGAGCAATCCCAGATTAATTAAATTATTTAAATAGTCATTTAACTGTCACTGTTATGAAAGATATATATATCCATTTATTACTGTTAAAAGCCTCCCCAATAAGCATGGTCTTTCTTTACTACATTGAATGTTTATTCCTTTTTCTCTGTCTTTATTTGCTAAGCCAGTCTTCTCCAGTAGACGGCATCATTTACCAGCTAAATTAATTTTCCAGCCTTTCCCTGACAGTGTGAAGTTTTGCTGTTCTGTTTGTACACGTTAGAGGAGGAGACAGGGGACTAGGGGGCTAAAAAAAGCGACTTTGGCGCTGCAGGCACACCAGTAGAAATGGCACTTGGCAAACGCTGTGGTGAAAGAGAGAGATAAGACCTAAAAGGCAAATATCACTTACCTTCAATTGTGATGTTTTTCACCAGAACTGGTTTTACTACTTTGGACCCCATGAGAATCCCTGTTGTTCTCCAATATAATATATTGCTACCCGATTTCAGAGTTACCTGCAACAGCATGCATGACAGTTAGCAGACATCCCCTCACCAAGAAATGGTTTCATTTCTTACTTTCATTACTCAGATTTCTTGCATCTTAGCAGCAATCCTGGCTTTTCCTAAGCTGCTTAGTGCATCAAGAAGTAATGGGGCGACAGCTAGGCAGATGCTGTAGAGACATCTCTGAGGAGTGTCAAAGTGTGCTTTATAAAAAAGCTTCTCAACACCCCAGTTTTATGGAAAAACACCAAGAGCTGTTCTTGACCTTGTAAGCAGAACTGGGAAAAAACTGTTCTTGCCTTCATTCAACTATCCCTGGCACTCAGGAGCTTTTATCTCTAGCTTTACGTTCAGATACAGTGAATTAGTTTGTTTTTAAAGCCTTGAGATACACTTTTATAAAGAAAGCAAACACGACCCAGAGTTCAAAAATCAGGCTCACAAGTGAGTTTTGTTTATAGACTTTAAAAGTCAAGCTCTGCCTGCATCTAACAGCATCATGATCAGTAAGCCAAGCACAAACCATGAATGTCCCCAGCAGCAGTCCCATCCGTCCTGCTCATTTCTGACCCTGAACAGCAGATGAGACGCAGAAAACAACCAGCTTCCCACTGCCTTGACCTATTAGTCTTCACAGCATGGTTCAGCAAGCAGTTGCACAACCCCTGTGCTGGCACAGGGAGGGTGGTGGGTTGGTGACACCATGGCTGGGACAAGGGGAAGGAGGAAGGCAGGACCGCTCTTGCAGCAGCAGTGTTAGTGTCTGCTGCCTCCAACTAACCTGTGTAAATACAGCATCACTCTATTCACTAAAAGTCGCAGATTTACCATGACCCTGCCTGGCCTGCAAAACTGTACTATATCTACCAGCCCAGTACAAGATGCCTATTGCCAACACAGTGATACTGGCCTGAAGGTGCTATGTTTTCACACAAAAGGAGCGATAAACTCTACCAACATAAAGGTCCGGGATAACAAGATTTACAGCAGTGCTGTACAGGCCTGGCAGGACCGCAGTTTTTGTTCACCCGGGACAAAGAATCCAAAAATTCAGGGAAGTGGAAATACAGCATAATATATCTCCCAGTCTTCAAACAACTGCTATTCAGAGGGGCAGAGGAGACCTGGGTCCATATTGAACCAAACATCACATTGTGTGGTGTAGAGATACCCAACAACAGCTCTGGTGCAGCAGGGCTAGCATGCTGAAAGCAGAAGCTGCAGCAACAGGAAAACTGGATCAGAGAAGCCACCATGACAGGATTCACAGTGCAGACAAAAGCCTTGAGGAGAGCCAGAACAGTCATCTCACCCAGCTCCTGTGTCTACATTTCAGCCAGGCATCCAAGCAATGTGTGTGGTCAGTGGAAACACTTGCACGTCCCAGATGATGTGCTCAGATGCAACCATCTCCCATGCAGACACCGTCTACATCTCTCAGCTCACCCAAGTCGATGCCCTGGCCTTGGATTAACCTCTCAGCCTGTGCCACTCACCCTTCACCCAGCTCTCCTGTGTCCAGATGTGATTCACATGGTGCTTTCATCTGAGCTAACAGTCACTGCCAACCAGAGCTGGCTCGGGAATAGTTTCTCCTCCAGAAGGATAAGCAGACCATGGAAAACAAGAGACCAGGCTGCTGCCCATGCCCATAAAAAGCTTTTGTGTTATGGCATAATGTCACCTATGCTGGGCTTTTGCTGGTATGGTTCTGGGAATTAGGATATGATGGTATAGTGGAAGCCAGGAATCACCATGAGCTAATGAGATGGTCTACACGTGGTCTGTGCACCAAGCAAACTCAGCCAGCTGGGTCACAGGCCAGCCAAAGGGCTGCTGCTCCAAACATGGACATGCTCGTATCAGTGCTGCAGGAGCCACTCTGGTGCTTGCTTTTCAACTAGGTAAGTCACCACGGAGCACAAGCTGGGTGCAGTCCAGCTCTTCTGCACAAACTTGAGAATAAAATGCCCATCCTGCCTGCCTCCACATACACACATCGCTCCCGCCACTCTGCTGAGCAACAGGGAATAATCTTGTGTTCTCATGAGCAAACAACTGTGGTAGAAGATTTCAATTACAATCATGCAGAGTGACTGTGGTGTGTGGATTTGCATAAATCTGTTTAACCTCATAAAGCACTTGATTCAAAGCCCAGAGAAATCAATACAAAGTCTTGCATCTATATCATTTGCTTTGGGATCAGCCCCTTAGAGATCTCGGTGGCTTTGCCCTCAGTAATAGGAAAGCTGTGCTTCTTCAGATGCATTCACAGGGTCTGGCCCTTGTCTGCTGTCTGCTGAGAGGAAAACACAGACGTTTATAAATTGAAAAAAAGCTTCATGAAGGAATTTTTTGCATACTTACAGAATGAGAGCCCCATTCTCCATTGTCTGTTAGTTTCACCCACTTGTCTGCCGTGGACTCCATCTCTTTGCACTGGTCATTTTGTATCTGGTAATAAAAACATATGATCAGTGACTACAATCAGATGTACCTCTCTGTCAGCGTTACTGCTGTCTGGAAATTATAAGATTCAGCTTTGTTCATCTTTTCTACATATTTAGGGCAGCAGCTGCCTTACTAGTGGCAAAAAAAAAAAACCCACTTTCGAAACCTGCTACCAGCTTAACAGCACCTCCAATGACCACCTCTGACGCTGATGGAAAAAAACAGCAGGAGACCTCAGCCTTGTCTTACTATCTGGTAAGACTCAGATGCTGAGCATCTTGTCTTGGCTGCCTCCTCCTTCTCCTGAGCCCACCAAGACACAGTTCTTTAAAATCCAGTGGCCATGGGCTTCTAAGTCAGAGGGGAGGCAAGAGTGGATGGGTCAAAGCTAGAAGACAAACTGCTTTCTCTGCAGCCAGTATCTGCTATATCTTTGGCTCCCTGCCACCCGACCTCACTAGGGCTGAGAGTAACGTTATCAAGGGAGAGGCAACATGCCATGCAGAGTCTGCTGGCAGAGGTGTGAGGTTGACTGTCCCTTGCCCAGATCTAGTGCATCTCAGCAGCCTTTCCTTGCAGCAGGGTTAGGTGCATGGCCTCACAGAGGTCCACTTCTTTCCTCTCATAACTGTCTTCTCTGAAGAAAAATTATCATGTCCCTTTAAGCCACAAGTTAAATTATTCAGCTTTTATTCCACCAAGGAGAAAGGCCAGTTCATGCTGGGGTCAAGCATCCTCAAAATTGCTCCACATCAAGTCTGAAATAAATGACATAACCCCACATCCTCCAAAGCATCTGTGGGCTTAATTCCCACCTAGATCAACATCACTGAGGAAAAGAAGTGAGAAGAAGCACCTAGGTAGAAGGGAGATCCCTAAGTATCTTGTGCAGTCTGAGCTACAGCTTCTTTGTGCCTTGGTTCCCATCTGCAAAAAGGAGTTAAGAATGTACAGTCTCTTCTCACAAGGTGTGAAAGGCTTCAATATGTAAAAAGAGCCTGGGAAGGGCAGGCTACAGAAGCATTGGGTGTCTAACAAGATGCATCCACGCTTGCCTCCCACATTTGAGGACACCTCCTCACTTACTCTCAGACCAGGAGTTCAGCCACCTGTGCCTAGAGAATCCAAAAACTTCACCATTTCCCAGCAACCTGCAAGCCTCTGCCACTGAAAGGCCACTGTCCAGAGCTAAAGTGTCATTGTTAAATATATTTAAGCATAAAGACATGCTGGAAGGAAAAAAATGGACTTTTAGAGGAGTGTTAAATATGGTTTCCCTGAAATACTGAGGCTGACTAGGAAATATTTTCATGGGCATTTCTATAAAGGACTGCACCACTCACTGTTTCTTGAACAGGGAATGACAAGTTTAAGGAGGTGAATGAGTGGGATATGGATAAAATTAATAATCAAAAAGCCATTTTCAAAGCCAGTTCTCACAGAAACAATATATTTGCTCCACTGCAGGAGCAGATCAGCCAGTCAGTCAAGCAACTGGAACTAGGGTTCATAATCCTGGTACATTCATCTGACAGCAGAAAGCATATTTGCTTTTTTCTCCCCATGAAGACGACAGGATAGTCTAATATAAAACTGAAATGGGTAAATAATATTGCCTGCACTGTCTGTTATCAAAGTGAAATAGCAATCTATTGCACTGATGTAGCAGCAAGAGGGTGCCTCCAACAAGTAATTTTGTCTTCCTTTCCTGTCTCTACTAAGGATAAGGATACTTTGTGCTTTTCTCCAAGCTTCAAGAAATATTAACCAACGCCAGCTAAGGCTTCTCAATCCTGTGAGATACCATGAGCTGTATTTTTTGGATGAAAATCAGAGCTCACCAGACAGATACAGAGGCAGCAACAGAGGAGACTGAAAATTTCCAGTCATCTCCTGCTCTGCATTGCCCTCCTATTACATTTTTTCTGTCCCAAATGGCAGGTACAACATGCCAAGGAAAGCAATGCAGATGTTGGTGGAACCTCCCAAAGCATCTCAGTGACATGCAGCATCTGCACTACACTGTGGAGCCTGGTATTGAGAACCTTCTGCCTCCCTGGACCCCAACCACTCCATCCACGTGGGGAGAGCAGGGTTGCCTTTCCCATTCTGGTCACTACTGATCAGGTTGGTTTAGTAATTTGGGTAGAGTGTGGTGCAAGACTAGCCAGGCTGCTCACATTTCAGAGCTAATGATCCCCAGTCCCTCCACTTCGCAGTGTGGACTTGTCCTCAGAGCCTAATTCCTACTGAAAGTCATCTGAATTTTTACTCCTAAATCTCTTTGGAGAGTTGTTGTTTCTGGATGATTTTTTTTTTTTTTTAAGGATTACCCTTTTGTCTCTTCTCCTGCTTTTCTTTTCATCTTAATTGCTATGATGCAAATTGACTTAAAACTAAAGCTAGGTTTCCACATACTAATGCCTTGGAGCACCTCAGCTTCTGTATGCCTACCTTGCAAGAAGTCTTTTTAAACATCAAGTCTCTTCAAAGACATCTCAAGTCAAACAACCCCAAACTGAAGCATCTACCATGAACAGTTGCCTCGTAAAAGGCTGGACTAACAGGGGCAGTCATGACCCCTAATGGAAAAATCCCATCATGTGGTAGACAGGATCAGTTTAGCCTAAGTTTTGAAGCTGAAATAAATGCCAAAAGGCAGCATAAGTGACAGAAAGAGATTTTTTTTTAACCTTGTTCAGCAATAACAAGCTATGGACATATGGAGAATGTAAACAGAGAAAAAAGCTGTTTCTACTGGTCTTTATCTGGACTGATTTCTTACAATATAAGGTTGGATTCACCATACAAAAGGCCTTACAAAAAATTCAAAGAAGATGTTGTTGTCAATATACTGGTATTCGAAGAAGACAGAGCCGGATTTCTTCAGGTGCACAGCGTAGATAAGAGAAACTGTACAATCATCCCTGTTCGACTCTATGTAATTCCCTCGAGGTGTCCAGGAAGAGCTGATGAACATAAACAAAACAAACCTCAGCTGAGATCACACTGAGGAGATTTTTCTTGCACTACTATACAAAAACATGTTACTTAATAAAGAACCCAGAATCCCACAATAGATAACTGCAGTGAATCACAACTTTATTACTGGATTCCTATTTATTTTTAATGTAAATATAACACTTTTCATTAAAATTGTGCATGAGAAACAGTATGGTACTAGAAATTTAGGGCCCAGACCACATAGAAAAGGTTTATTATCCATAGGTTCAATTGCTTTCAATTATACTCAGAAACAGCCTTCTCCAACCACCATGGGTCTCCAAATAGGCTTTTGTGAAAGAACCTTTTAGCCACATTTACTATACCACGACCCTGGAGCTTTCCAGCTAGAAATAAGAGCAGCTCCAGGCTGATCTTAGACTCACTGGCTGCTGATGAGCCCGAGTAGACCATGATGACAGCACAGAGAAGGCTACAAATTTCACTTCCCAGTCACTCTTGTTTGACATTAGTAGGGCTGACTACCCTCTGGAGACCTTAGGTAAGTCATTAAGCTGGCTTTGTGCTGCTGAGCTGTCTCAGGTTTACCCATGGCTGCATAACCCAGGTGCAAACAGAACATCTTACTTGTTGCAGTTGTCAGCTTTATTCTCAGTCGAGCCAACCGCTGTGTCCATGAAAGTCGCCACGTTGGAGAAACCTGCTGGCAGCTCATCCCACTCGTCAAACTTGATCCCGCTGCCCAGCGAGTAGGTCCCTTCTGCACATTTGCTGCACACTTGGTTCTTCATCTCCAGGTACTCGCCAGAGGCACAGGAGAAAGCTGAGAAGACAATGGTTTCCGACATATGACTGGAGAAAATAATCCAAATTAATTCCCATTATTTTTTTTGCTGCTTAATTAAGAGAGAACTGCCACTAAAGGGAACTAAACAGGA